AGCTCGCCCGGGACGCATTGATGGCGGTGGGTGGCGGCTGGTGGGAAAGGGTGGCCGCCCTGTCCCTTATCCTCAACCCACCTAGCCCTCTCGTCCTCGCCAACGCTCTCCGCCATCACAGCTCAAATCCCTCCTCCTTCGCAAGGCTTGGGGCCGGTGCTTTCGCTGCTTGAGGAAGGGACACCGCATTGTAGATTGCCACAGTAAGGCTAGGTGCTTGCTGTGTGGCTCCTCAGGTCACAAGGCGCGCTTGTGTCATCCGCCAGCTGCGCCCCCCTGTCGCGCAGCCGCTCTGTTGACGCTCCGCTCCCTCCGCCACCTCCAGGCCCCCCTCCGCCGTCTGCTGTGCGTCTCCAAGACCCTGCGTGCCGCGCCATGGAAGCCCCTCCCGCTGATGTCCAATCCCGCCATGGCTTGGTGGTGGCCACAGCTCCTCGCTCCGCCATGCTGGCTGACGCGGAGCGCTCCCTTTGTCGGAGGGCGGTCGTGGCCACTTTGGTGGGTCACCGGCCGTTCAAGCTGCCGCTCGCGGATTTCAAGAGGTCCATCGCGCTTCAGTTCAGGGTGGATCCTGAGGCGGTGAAGGTTTCCCTGCGCGCCACATGCGAGTTCCTGGCCGTGTTCGACGACGCCCTTGCCCGCGACGCCGCCCTCGCCATCCAAGGACCGCTCCACCTGGGTGGGCTCTCCTTCCTGCTCACGCCTTGGTCACGGTTCCGCCGGGCTACCCATGCGGAGATGCTCTACAAGGTCCGTGTGTGCCTCGAGGGCGTCCCTGAGCACGCCTGGGACGTGGAGAGCGTCCGGCCGTTGTTTGATCCTGCCGATCTCATCGAAGGGTTAGACCCTGAGTTTTGCTTTGAGGAAGAATCTGGCTGCGTCAGGCTTTGGGTTTGGACTGCAGGGACTGGATGAGATAGTTGCTGAAGCTTGGAATAAACCCCTGAGATCTCCAGACCCAATTAGAAACTTCCATGCTAAGCTTTCCAGAACAGCAACAGCCCTCAAGAAATGGAACAATAGTATGAGAAAGAAGGCTAGCTTGGCTTCTGATATTGCAAATGAGGTGATTTTTCAACTGGACCTAGCAATGGAACATAGAGAGCTCACCTCTGCTGAGTGGGCCCTTCGGCGAAACCTTAAGTCCAAGCTTCTAGGAATTGCTGCTGTAGAGAGGATTAGATGGAAGCAGAGATCTAGGCTAACCACTATCAGATCGGGTGATACTAGCACCAAATTCTTCCACCTAAGGGCAAATGGCGGACGTCGGAAAAACCACATTGCCAGTCTTATTGGGCAGCAAGGAGAAACCTCTGATCACAAGGAGAAAGAAGATATTCTGATTGATCACTTCAAGAATCTCATAGGAAAAGCTGCACCTGCTGCCTCTCATTTGAATTGGAACTCTCTGGGCATCCAGCGGACAGAGCTGCAGCACTTGGACCAGGAATTCTCTGAAGATGAGATCAAGGCTGCAGTTTTTGATGGGCATGCTGAGAAGGCACCGGGACCTGACGGATTAATTGGGGCATTCTACAAGAGGTTTTGGTCTCTAATTAAAGATGATCTGAGGGAGGTTTTCAAGAGCCTTTTTCTGCTAAAGGGAAACCAATGGAAGATACTCAACTCTGCTAACCTGGTGCTAATCCCCAAGAAAGAGGGAGCAACAACACCTTCTGATTTCAGGCCAATCAACCTGATGCATAGTGTTGCTATAATCATCTGCAAGGTGCTTGCTAATCGATTGGGCCTGGAGCTACAGAAGATCATATCGGGCACCCAGAGCGCTTTCATTCGAGGAAGATCCATCCAAGATAACTTCCTGTATGTCAAGAATGTAATCAAAGATGCTCACCAAAAGAAGAAGAAACTGCTTTTCCTCAAGCTGGACTTCGAAAAGGCTTTTGACTCGGTTGGCTGGGGATACCTGCTGCAAGTATTGGAAAACTACGGGTTCGGACAAAGATGGAGAGATATGATATGCATTCTATTAGCCTTGGCCACCTCCAGGGTGCTGCTTAACGGAGCTGCAGGCCTGCCTTTTCAGCACCGGCAAGGTTTTCGGCAGGGTGACCCCCTATCGCCGATGCTGTTCATTCTTGCTCTGGACCCACTTCAAAGAATTTTGAACCAAGCCACTCAGATGGAGATCCTATCCCCCCTACCGACGCACTCTGCCAGGCTAAGAGAAAGTTTCTTTGCTGACGACGCTGCTCTTTTCCTCAAACCGACAAGTAGGGACATTCAAGGCGTGCTGCGCATTCTCAAATTCTTTGGTGATGTGTCTGGACTCAAGATCAATCATGGAAAGTGTATGGCTTACCCTGTCCGATGTGAAGGGATTGATGTTGCCTCCCTCCTGGAGGGTTTTGGAGGAGCTCTTGGAGCCCTGCCCTGTCGATACCTGGGGATGCCACTTTCTCTTAGAAAGCCGAGAAGAGTTGAAGTACAACCACTATTGGATAAGGTCGTTGGCTGCTTACGACCTTGGAAGGGCAGGTTCTTTACCAGACCTGGCCGGCTTCTCCTTGTTAATTCAGTCCTCATAGCTACGCTTACCTTTTACCTCACTGCGTTTCCCCTGGATAAATGGGCTGAGAGGCAAATTGATAAGCTACGAAGGAAATTTCTTTGGAATGTCGAGGACGAGGCATATGGTGGAAAATGTTTGGTTAACTGGAAGCGCATCTGTGCCCCAAAATCGGTGGGGGCCTTGGTATCAAGGACATCGCTGCATACAGCAGAGCCCTTCGATTGCGTTGGCCTTGGTATGAGTGGGACAGTGTTGATCGCCCCTGGAAATGAACGCCAACCCCGTGCAACCACACTGATCGCCAGTTGTTTGCTGCCTGCACTAGCATCCAATTGGGAGATGGCAGAAAGGCGCGATTCTGGACTGATAGATGGCTGCATGGAATGGCTCTCAAGGACATTGCCCCTGCTCTATTCAAGCTGTCCCGCAAGAAGCTTCTGAATGTACATGACGGTCTGCAGGACAACCAATGGATGGTTGGGCTGAATAAGATCAATGACGCTCCGACACTCGACTGCCTGCTGAACCTTTGGCCGGCCCTCCAGCAAGTTCTCCTCAACGATAGTGAGGATGAAATCTCTTGGATTCACTCCTCGAACGGAAGATACAGCGCCAAGTCTGCCTACAACATCCAGTTCATCACTAGAATTGCAATGCCGCAACTCGAATAGGTGTGGAAAATCAAGGCTGAACCTAAGATCAGATTCTTCATCTGGACCTTGCTCCAAAACAGGCTGTGGACTGCTGATTACCTTGCGGCCCGAGGATGGCCTCACAAGGATCGCTGCAGCACCTGTGACCAACTCCCGGAGTCTGCACAACACATCTTAATTGACTGCCCTTTTGCAAAGGAGATTTGGCACTCCCTCCGGTCCACGCACCATGAAGCTGCTGCTGCTGCCCTTGCTGCCACTTCTATTCAATCTTGGTGGACAGATACAACCAGATGCAAGACCCTACATGACAACCTCCATGCGTCTACCGTGGCGGCCTACACTGCTTGGAACATCTGGAACGAGCGAAACAGAAGGGTTTTCCAACAGAAGACGACAACTGCACCTGGAGCTTATACAATGACCAGAGATGAGATCAGCCTCTTTGCTGGGGCTTGGGAGATTTAGTCCCTGTTGTCTCCGGGGTCCGGCTCCATTTTGGTAGCCAGGACCTCTCTTTTTGACACTGCCACTGGCTTTCTTGTTGTACTTTGTACAGTTCTTTCCCCCTTCTTAATGAAGAGGCAGAGCACCTGCCATTGCCCGTCAAAAAAATGCAACCATGCATAGGAAAAGTCTCACCTCGACATGCAAACATGGGTGATAATTTCCACTGTATTATGCTATTTATATTTAATAAATATTTTACAACCATACAATAATCAAACAAAATAAACCATGCATATTTTAAGTTTTATTTATTATAATATTACTCTAAATATTCATGTTCCACACAACCAAATACATTGAAATATAATGCAGACCATTTGTCCAACAACATGCATATATCATCTACTGGTTATAACAAACATCTAATCACTTGGGTCTAATGTTATAATAAACATTCCTCCAATAACATGCAAACAACGTTTCAGATGTTTGTCATTCATTATTTATCAAGAGCACTTAACAATTCATATATTAGCTCCGACCTCGATTTAGTTATAGAAAGTACTTATCAACATATTGTGGCAGCAATTAATAGAAATCCCACGTTTGATGAGATGGTAGTCGTAGTGCAACTTTAAAGTAAAATGGAATACAACTTTCTTCTGAACTGCAGAACAAAATATTTACGGTTGCACCCGGCGTTATTATGTTCAAAGTTTGAGAAGTGTTTATGTTATTGTGCCACTTGTGTTGCTCGGGTGCTCAAATCCTACCTCTGATTGGTTGTAAGATTGCTTTCAAATTAAGCTTGTAAGCAGCCAATCCACGCTGCTAGCTCAAGTCTTGTTGATTTGGTACATATAAATGCTCCGGAGGCGCGCCGCACGTAGAAAGGGATCAACAGAGAATTAGGTATGTAGGCTCTAACTTGTTTAGGCTCTAGTAGATGATAAAGTGTACTCTGGACTACATGCATATTTACGCTGCATGAATGCATGCATGCTTATCCATGCACGAACGAGAAGGACACGATCGGCCACCAGCCAATGCAAAGTCGATCACCAACCGAGTAATGACAAACGACGTTCGTGGATCAAATCGATCGTTGATCGATGCGTGCAGTCGTCTAGAATCGATCAACCGAGTTTTAATTCGCCATCTGAAATTTCGGCGAGTTAGCCGGTCTCTCGTTGTCAGGCATCACTTCGCCGGCCACCAGGCGAACATGCAGCCAGATCATCAACCGAGCTGGATGGATCAATGCGGATGTCTATATAAGCCATGCGTCGCCTGTTCCATCCATCCATCCATCCATCCATCCACCAGCCACTTCACACAGGCAAACGAGTGGTAAGGGTTCAGGCATGGCAGCTCCGAGAGCGCTCGTCCTCGCCGTCCTGCTGGCGATCGCCGTCGCCAACGCCGAGGCAGCGTCCGTGGTCGTCGGCCTGGTCAAGTGCGCCGACTGCACAAGGAAGAACATGAAGGCCGAGGAAGCCTTCAAAGGTGAGCTAGCTACAAACCGAATATAGGTAGATAAGAAATGAAGAGTACTGTCACTCTGCATGTGCACACTTCACACGCATATAAATGTATGGAGATCAGCCCACAGTCACTGATGTACTCATGTCCCTGCCACGAAAATTTTGTCAGGTCTCCAGGTAGCAGTCAAGTGCAAGAACGTCCATGGCGACTACGAGAGCAAGGCACTGGGTGCCCTCGACGGCACCGGGGCCTTCCGCATGCCCCTCGCTGCTGACCTCCACGGCGCCGACTGCGTCGCACAGCTCCACAGTGCAGCCTCCAACGCGCCGTGTCCTGGCCAGGAGCCATCCAAGATCGTGCCGGTTTCCGAGGGCACCACCTTCGGTATCGTCGCCGGCGACAGTATTGCCACGCCGTCTGCAGCGTCGCCGGAGTGCGCATCCATGGCCCTGTGCGGGCCAATCAAGAAGCACATCATCGAGCACTTCCACCACAAGAAGCCCGTGCCACCGAAGCCGGAGCCCAAGCCCCAGCCCCACCCGGACTACGGCCCCGTGCCCAAGCCCGAGCCAAAGCCGCAGCCCCACCCGGACTACCACCCCATCCCTCCCACGCCCACCTACGGCGGCGGAGGTGGCGGCGGATACCACGGACACCACTGAGTCTGGTCTACCACCGTCGTCCTGCCCAGCGATGAAATCTCATCAACGGGTTCAAAGTCAGTGAGTGATTGACGTTGCTATTTATGATCGGTTTGCATGCGTGGGTGGATTGTTTGGTGTTGTGCCATTCGCTGCCCCGTTTTAGTATCTGCACCGCAGAGTTGAGAGTTCAGAATAACAGTTGTGAGGAACACATGGATCACTGTGTATTTTGCTTTTTAAAGATTTGCAATTTCGGTGTGTGTTTTGTATACGAAGTTGTGGATCAAGTAATTTAATCAAGTCCATTATTTGAGCCAATGGAATTACTGCAGATGTTGGCTTTTTTGGCTTGATCTTGTTCTACTGTGTGCTGCGTGCGTTTAGTTCATGTTTTGCCTAATGTTATAGGCTTGCTTTTACCTTCATTTTCTTTTAAGTTTTTGGTTCATGTAATAACTGTGTGGTGGTTTTTTAATGGAAAAATGCTACATCGACGGGCTCTTTACGGGGTTTTCAACGGACTAATAACTGCATTGCCACGCCGTCTGCAGCGTCGCCGGAGTGCGCATCCATGACCCTGTGCGGGCCAATCAAGAAGCACATCATCGAGCACTTCCACCACAAGAAGCCCGTGCCACCGAAGCCGGAGCCCAAGCCCCAGCCCCACCCGGACTACGGCCCCGTGCCCAAGCCCGAGCCAAAGCCGCAGCCCCACCCGGACTACCACCCCATCCCTCCCACGCCCACCTACGGCGGCGGAGGTGGCGGCGGATACCACGGACACCACTGAGTCTGGTCTACCACCGTCGTCCTGCCCAGCGATGAAATCTCATCAACGGGTTCAAAGTCAGTGAGTGATTGACGTTGCTATTTATGATCGGTTTGCATGCGTGGGTGGATTGTTTGGTGTTGTGCCATTCGCTGCCCCGTTTTAGTATCTGCACCGCAGAGTTGAGAGTTCAGAATAACAGTTGTGAGGAACACATGGATCACTGTGTATTTTGCTTTTTAAAGATTTGCAATTTCGGTGTGTGTTTTGTATACGAAGTTGTGGATCAAGTAATTTAATCAAGTCCATTATTTGAGCCAATGGAATTACTGCAGATGTTGGCTTTTTTGGCTTGATCTTGTTCTACTGTGTGCTGCGTGCGTTTAGTTCATGTTTTGCCTAATGTTATAGGCTTGCTTTTACCTTCATTTTCTTTTAAGTTTTTGGTTCATGTAATAACTGTGTGGTGGTTTTTTAATGGAAAAATGCTACATCGACGGGCTCTTTACGGGGTTTTCAACGGACT